TTTTACCTCACGTGGATGACTGGGTGCATGTGCATCACTTACCAGGGAACACCGGGCAGCATGATGCACTATGGGAGGAAGGCAAGCTGGTGGAGGCAGTGTGATGTTTGGGCAATGCTCTGCTGGGAAACCTGTCATCCATGTGGATGTCACTTTGACACGTACTACCTTCTTAAGTAGAAGACCATGTGCACCCTTTCATGGAAACAGCATTCCTTGATGGCTATGGCCTCTTTCAGCAGGATGATGCACCCTGCCACAAAGCAGGAATTTGAGGAGCACAACAGCGAGTTTGAGGTGTTGATTTGGCCTCCAAATTACCCAGATATCAATCCAACTGTGTCAGCCAGTGTGGTTGTGTTGGTCACTCTGGTACGAACAACACGCCCGAGGTGATACCACGATCAGTTCGGGCAGGTTGTTCCATCTTCTTCACTCCCAATTCTGGAGGTAGTCTGATAAATCCGGCTCTGTTTTTGTGATTAATTGTTGTGCTTGATTGATTTCTCTCTCCTCTGTTTAATTTTAAACAAGTTTTTGACAGATTCATAAACTGTACTTTCTTATTTTTAGGTCAGGTCATCTAATAAATTTGTTCAGCACTGTAAAGACTTTAACTGCCATTTCAATTGATCACATACAAATTTGCAACTTGGTTTAAACAATTAACAAATTTCTAAAGTATTTGTGCCTTCTTGTTTTTAGTACAGAGCGTCTAATAAATTTGTTAATCCCTCTATAGACAAACCAAGCAGCTCGTGTTTACACAAACTCAGAGCGAACAAGAAAAACAGAAAAAGCGAGTCGGACCAGCGAGGCTGAGCTGCTTTTTATGATTACTTTTATGACAATCACTGAGCTCTGACTGTAAATGAAGAAAGACAACAAAGACTCTGTTCATTTTTAAACTGTATATAAAAGATGTACAGCCAGCCACTGTGGCATCACCCTCTGGTTTCCTGTTCTTTAATTAGACTAAGTTATAAGTTTGTGCCAACATAATATTAAGGCCTCATTAAACGGTTGTAGAGACATTTAAATATCCTCTTTTTATTGCAGAAAATGTTTTTGATTAATATGCTTCATTAATTCATTTGAATTTATAAATAGTCTCGTCCACTGTTTATTTACCTGCTGTGATAGCAACGTTGGTCTTTCACCTTCTGAGTCTGTATGTGTGCCAAAGTACTTAAAACTTCCTGATATACTTCCTGTTGCAGTAGCAGGATGTCATTAGTTATGAGTACTTTGGTATGTGTTTACAATACTGTGCAAAACTTTTGAGACATTCCTCATTTGTATTTATTTTGCTTCCAAGGAGCCAACTTTAAATTATGTCTTTAGGCACTTTGTTACAGCTTCCTGTTGCAAAAAAATATCATGAATAAATGAATCAGTGAAAAATATCAAAGATTGTCAAGACTGACAAACATAAAATAGTATTTTTGCACCAACAAGGTGATTCCTAAAGAGCAATTAGTTAGAAACTTGGCCTCAGCATGGTGCACTGTGTGTTCTTAAGAAATGTGAGGAAACTGTACACACACAGATAGATAGATAGATAGATAGATAGATAGATAGATAGATAGATAGATAGATAGATGGAATTCAAACAATAAAAACTAACAATAATAATAATAATAACTGGTACTCAGTGTAACTTTTTTCTCTTCTCCGCTGCTGGCTGATGGACCACCATCGGTACAGGTGATAAACCGGTTGTATCACATACTTTGCACACTGCCTCTGACTGACAGCAGAGCTCACTGCAGGCAGACGAGCCATCCCTCGATTGCCATCGGACAGTCAATACGCTCTCCCGACTGGATAATAAACTCCCCTAGCTGACAGCAGATCCTCAACCTCAAACACCATGATTTTGCTGACAATAATCACTCGTCTGACGGACGGACTTCCGCTCGCTGCGTCTGTACAGGAGGATGAACAGGTATGAATGAAGGCTGAGGACCCCAGTATGAAGATACCTGCACACCAAGAAAGGGATTTGTTTCTTACACTTGGTGCTCTAGGGGAAGATCCATGAGTTGTAATTTATTGAGCAGCACTAGGTGTAAGATGTTTTACAAACAAGAAGCGACTGAAAGTTGAGCTGAATATAAGATTTTCTGGTCCCAGAAAATCCTGCAAAAGTACTAATGTGATGGAATATGTGCTAATAACATGACGCAAAACTTAAGAGTCTATCTCTGCCTGTAACTGTGGGGATCGTTTTATTACAAGAAATAATCAGATGCATTATTAACAAGGCTGGTTCAGATCACACCGTTACCTCTTTATAAAGTACCCCATTATCAGGTTTAATCGTGCAAATAATCCAGATAGAGAGACGACCAGACTGTGATTTTCCAGTGAATGAGAGCAAATATTTTTGTAAATATTTTGTAATTTCACACAAAAAGCTTTAAAAGGAAAAGCATGAAAAAGAAATGTATCTCAATTTTCCTCCATACAGAGACATTTTGCAGGTTCCACATGTGAACGACTCTCTGATGAGAATAATGTATACACGCTCTCATCAGATAGTGTATTATGTACACGTGTTCAACTCCTCATTAATGTAAATATCTAATCACCCAAACACATGACAGCAACTCAATGCGCTCTGTGCATTTAGACATGGTTAAGATGACAACCGAGCATCAGAATGAGGAAGGAAGGTGATTTAAGGGACTTTGAATGTTGAATGATTGTTGTTGTCAGACAGGCTGCTCTGAATATTGTAGGAACTGATTATTTGTTGGGATTTCCCCACACAGGAGAGGATTATAAAGAATGACCAGGGAAAGAGAAAATAGCCAGTGAGCAGTGTAATGGTCAGACTGGCTCAAGCTGACAGGGAAGGCAACAGAAACTCAAATGACAGTTTTTCAAATTCATAGTATGAAATAAAGCATCTCTGAATGCACAAAACATCATATCTTGAAGCAGGCAGGTTACAGGAGCAGAAGACCGCATTGGGTGCTGCTTCTGCCAGCTAAGAACAGGAAACTGAGGCTACAATTTACACAAAACTTTCCCAAAGTCGTGCAACAGAAGATGAAAAATGTTGTCTGGTCTCATAAATCTTTGTTTCTGCAGCAACATTCAGATGGTAGGCTCAGAATTTAGCATAAAAAACATGCAGGCATAGATCTATCCTGCTTCGTGTCAGTGGTTTATTCAACTGGTGGTGGTGTAATGTTGAGAATATTGGCACAGCTGAGCATCGTTTAAACACCACCTGAGCGTTGTTACTAACTGCATCCACCCTTTTATGGGCACATTTACTGACGGCTGCTTCCAGCAGGATAACACACCATGTCCCCCAGCTCATTTCATATCAAACTGGTTTCTTGAACATGACATCAGATATTAATCCAATAGAGCAGCTTTGGGATGTGATGCAACAGAAGAGTCACATAATGGTTGTGCAACCAACTGAGTTGCTGTCATGTCAACTTGGACCAAAATCTCTGAGGACAGTTTCCGGCACCTTTTGACTTTGCATCATAACGAATTAAAACAGTTTGAAAGGTAAAAGGATCCAACATGGTACTAGCAAGGTGTATCTAATAAAGCTTCTGAGTTTGTAGGCATTGCTTCTTGAATTTTATACTGTTTACACAGTAAACCAAGTGTGGGTACTTGGTGATGAATGCATAAATGACTAATCATTTTAACTTTAGGTGAGATAAGAATGAGCTAAAGTCTGTTTTGATCTGTCTTTGTCAGTTAGGAATAGACCTCCAGCTGTACCAGAGCCAGGTCAAGCAGTTGTGCCGTAAACTGGACGCTCAGAGTCCAGAACGTTGTACCTTTGATACCGGGGACAAGAACTTTCAGTAAGATCACACATTTTGTTGATCATTTTGGTGAGGTTTAACTTGAGTCAAATATAACTAATGGTTAGGCCTCGTTTCAGTTTTTTAATATCCCAGGGTGTGTGTTACATTATCCTCTGCGAGGCTTCTTTTCCCAAAACGATGGCTTTTGAATACCTCGAAGACCTCAGCAAAGAGTTTTATGTCCAGTATGGAAAAAAAGTACCTACAGTAACCAGGCCCTACTCTTTCATAGAGTTTGGTAAGACTGAAGTCCAACATCTTTTATCACACAGAGACATGGCACTAATCCCTGTAAACAAATAAAATGAACATTTTATAGCATCTTACATCTTGTTCCAGACACATATATCCAAAAAGTGAATAAGCCATCTGTGTCGATCAAACTCCGGAGGACCTTGGAAAGTACTAAAAAAGAGCTGGATGATACTCAGAAAATAATGGTGGCAAATATTGTTGAAGTCCTGCAGAGAGACCCTCTCTGTGGTAAGTGTAGCAGGCGTTGGTAACACATCCTATCAAATGGGAGGTGCTGATTCTATTCAGAATTATGTAGACAATTTGTTGTTATTCCAATTTACAAATTACAATGTACACGTATTCAGAGATGTTCAGTTCATCCCAATGTTTCGATTTTATCCCCTCAGATATTGCCAAAAAAGTCAGCAACCTGAGCAGCTTTTCAAAAAGTTGCCGCAGCAATGCCAAAGATGTCAACAGCTCCCCCGGCTATGTTAAGGCTGTAGCTGTGGCTGTGTTCATCACACTCATCATCTACATGCGTTTCTGGTGGCCCTGATAGACTCTTGGACAAGGACTTCTCCTCGACCGGCACCTAAACTAATTATACATTGTGTGCCATATACAGCCCACTTTGATGTGAAGTGAGCTGGACCAGTGATAAACATATATAGTTCCAGAAAAGTTTCCTTTTTAGCAAACTTGCTTCACATTGGCTTTCCCTCATAAACAGGTTGGTGGAGCTTCTGTCAGCGTTTCAGCACTGATGGAGACTCCATGTAAGCATGTCCAGAGGTTAGAGTCTTAAAACTGCGATGTTTGTAATTAAAGTTTAAACAAGTGTGAGAAAGTGTTATTAAAAATGTTGAATATTTACCAAGAAATCTGTTTGAGTTTTATATATGACAGTTTATGTGAACATCATGAAGGATGCGGGCCCTTTCTATATATACACAGAGGGTAAAATAAGTATTGAACACCTCACTAATTTTCTAAGTAAATATATTTCTAACGGATCTATTGCTATGAAATTCTCACCATGTGTTGTTCAGTTTCCCCACACAGGAAGCATCTTGAAGCTGTAATCACCAACAAAGGCTTTTGTACAAAGCATTCAATTATTTTCAGTATGTACAACGCTTTTTCCCTCTATCATTTCTCATTACTACACATAATCTATGACCATCTGTGATTTGATGTTCTTACTTGTGTGGACTGGGCAGGTTTTTACTGACATATGGTGGGAATTTCATGTCAGTAGCACCTTTAGAAATGTATTTACTTAGAAAATTGGTGACATGTTCAACACTTATTTTACACACTGTTTATACAGTGGTGTGAAAAAGTCTTTTATCCAATTCCTGGTTTTCTTTTTTGTATGTTAGTCATACTGAAATGTTTCAGATCGTCAAACAAATTTAAGTGTTAGACAAAGACAACACAAGCAAACACAAAATGCAGTTTCTAAATGAAGGTGGGGGGATTACCCTAAGAGCACAGCGACAACTCATACAAGAGATTATAAAAGACCACGAGAAAGAACGACATCCAAAGAACTGCAGGCCTCACTTGTCGGAGTTCAAAACTCCATCATAAGAAAGAGACTGAGCAAAAATGGCATCCATGGCACAGTTACAAGACGAAAACCAAGAACAGGAAACCAAACGAAAAGAAGCATCATGCCAACATTAAAATATGGCAGTAGTAGTGTGATGGTCTGCAGATTTTTTGCTGCCTCAGGACTGGAAGACTTGCTGTGATAAATGGAACCATGACTTCTGTCTACCAAAACATCCTGAAGGAGAATATCCAGCCATGTGTCCGTGACCTCAAGCTGAAGCACACTTGGGTTCTACAAGAGGACAATGATCCAAAACACACCAGTAAGTCCGCCTCTGAATGACTTAAGAAAAACAAAATGAAGACTTTGGAGTGGCCCAGTCAGAGTCCTGACCTGAATCCGATTTTAAGGTCATGAGTGGCATGACCTTAGAAAGGCAGTTCATGGTGGAAAACCCTCCAGTGTGTCTGAGTTAGAACAATTCTGCAAGGATAAGTGGGCCAAAATTCCTCCACAGCGACGTGAAAGACTCATTGCAGTTGTTGCTGCTATAACTGAGCCAACCAGTTATTAGGTTTAGGGGGCAATCACTTTTCACACAGGGCCATGTGGGTTTGGATTTTTTTCCACTTCACACTAAACATTTAGTTTAGTGTGCACTTTGTGCTTACTTGTGTTATCTTTGTCATATATTTATATTTGTTTGATACGAAACCCCCCACAGAATATCAGGAAGAGTACTGGTGATTACCAAAATCATCTTTGATATTTTTGTTGTAACTTTTTATCCACCAGTATGCATAAGTGCTTCAAACTATTTATAATATAAAAATATAATTAAACACATTTCCAGTTCAATTTTACAAATAAAAATCTGAAAAAATAGACGAGCACTTTATTTTGTGTTAAAGATGTCAAATTACAGTTAATTACTTGCATTCCTGAACATAAAATTCTGTTTTGAATGTTTGAGTGCATTTGCCTAATAAATAAAAAATGCTTTTTTTGTCGTACTAAAAAGGTTTTTGACAAATTTCTAAAATATTTGTTCTTTCTTGTTTCAGTACAAAGGGTCTAATAAATTTGTTAATCCCCGCATAGACAAACCAAGGAGCTCGTGTTTACACAAACACAGAACAAATAAGAAAAACAAAAAAGCGAGTCAGACCAGAGAGACTAAGCTGCTCTTTATGATCCCTCGGACAACAACCACTAAGCAGCTCTGATGGAAGAATGAACAAAGACGACAAAGGCTTACTGCTGTATTAAAGACTTGTACTGTATATATAAGATGGGTGTAGCCACTGTGACATGATCCACTAGTTCGAAAAGCTTTTTTATTTTTTAAAATTTGAGCTACACTTTTTTCGCCATTGCCATTTGTCCTTCACACTATAAAATTGAGGGATGTTGGACACCAACAAGGACCATGACGTACAAAATAAACACGCTGTATTAACTAAGGCTGAGAACTGGTGATTGAGTCCATGAATGCATCAGGGAATCATTTCTTCAGGTTACAAAAAGAGGGCGCTAAGAGGCATTTTCCTATAAACTTCTATAAACCTGGCAAACACCAAAGTCGCCCCCTGCTGGTCATTAGAATAAATGTAGGTTTAGGGTATGCCCATCTTTTAAAAAAAAGTTTACAAAATCTTGTGGTAGTGGCGTCTCTGCAGCTTTAGTGACAACAATACAGACTCACCTCAACTTTTACAATCAGTTATACTTGGAAACTCACTGACACACATTTTACAGCTGCCGTTCAAATATAAGAGAGCTTCTGTCAAAGTGTGACAACAGTAAAATTCGTCTTTGTTCTCCGGACTGCTCGAGTAAGTCCTGGGTTCTGGGGACGCAGGAGGACTTTTCACTTTCCCCCCAGTTTCCATAATAAAAGGAACCCACACTGTCGTTTTTCCTCAGCAAAGTAAAAAAAGCAGAGATCTTCTTTCCATTGCTCAGTGTGATGAATGACTTTGGGAGAACAGATTTATGCCATCATATCAAAGTCGTCCCGCTGCAAAAGAAACACAGTGATAAGCTTCAAGGCATCAGAATTAGGATTCAGTCCTGAAAACTGTCGATTTAAGTAACAGATAATCATTCATAACTGAAATATGTACATACAAACTCTGACAAATCACTCACCTCTTCATTGTAATTCATCACGTGCTGCTTGATCTTCGAGGAGTCCACCCACGTGACGAAATCTTCCATATTTCTTACATTTAAAAAGGTTACAGTAATAGTGTCAGCATTTTCACATGTGCAGTATAGTGAAGCATCTGTGTCAAAGGCCCTCTGTGTTGGTAAAGATATTGTGAGAAGACTAAATACCCGGAGACCAACCTTGTGACGAGAAACGCCGGGTCTGTAACAATATCCGGGCCAACACGCACATCTGTGACTGAGTCAAGGACAACACTGAATCTGTTTTAATCCTTGAATGAAGACAAATCTGAAGTGTTAAGTATAACAATTTACAGTAACACAGCAGTCAAGGATACGCCCTTGTTCGATGAAAGTAATTGCCGTCTTCAGGTTCTGAGCCATACGAAGATTCAACATGATGCTGGGCAGCCGCCTCCTGCAGGAATCACACAGACAAAGTATACATAGAGGCTTGCATTTATACACAGCACTGTATAAAAGCCTCAAGCCACCTCTCATTTCTGTATTTTTTGCTAGGAAGATGGGAAATACATGCAGAGATTTAATGAAACATGTCCAAACATGCATTGAAATACAGTATATAATAAACAGTCTGTACAATTCTAACTATGGAACGCCAGGACTGCCATAATGAATTAATTAAATACACCATTAAATAATTAA